CCAAATTCGAACCTGAAATTACTAAAATCTCAATTTTCGTACGAACTCGATTCTTATTCATATGATTCTCGCTGTGTAGGTTCGTGCGTCTCTCTTTCTGGTACGATTCAAGCTTGTGATGGGAACAAACGATGTGAAAACAAAAACAAAACTGGTAAAGATTGGGTTCGCCGGATATGCTTATTAATCGCCGGTTTTTGATAAAACACGGTCTCGGCGGTCAAAACTTGGGGTCTCGCATAATTGCTCCGATCAGCACCAACTCCCCACGGTGACCACCGCGAACGTGTTCTCGACTGCGGAATCATCAAGTGACCACTTTGAGGATATCCGGCTTTGCCGTGAAGACCTTTTTGACTCATCCAAGGTACGTCTTGCATTCGCTGTCTATCTCTCGCGATGATTTATCTATCTTATGTTTAATTAAGTTTCAATTATGTTGTATTGGTGGTCGAGGATTCTTAATTCCCTCCCTTTGTATTGTGAAGAATTATCGAATGAAATAAGATTGTGGAAAAAAAAAAGCATTAGATACTACATGTATAAAATTAATTCATTGTGGAAACTGTACTAGAACAAATGCTTTAAATTAAATCCCCCTTTTAGTTATTTATAGAGACTTTAAAGTATTCCAAAATTCCCACTGAAATTATATATATTACATAATTGTTACTCCAAAGGTACACTAGATATTCTTAATTGTTGGCATCACATTTGAAACTCTATATAAGTCACTCATTGTCCCCTCGTTTTACTTAACAAAACACACAAAAAAAAAAGTTAAAGCTTTGTGATAATATCAATATGAATAGCAACGAGAGAAAGGATAACAAAGATGAGAATTCAACATTTTATGATAGCGCAACGAATGTCATAGGCGGCGTCCGAATCATTGTAGCATTAGCTGGTTTACTCTTGTTGAGCTTGGGCTCAGACTCAGACTCGGAAGAGAAGATGAAGGCTGCTGGGCAAGATGGTTATATTCCCCTAAAATATTTCAAAGACCACCCACCCAAAAGAGTACTTCAAGAATCTGCGTGATAAGAAATGAAAATATGAGTACGTTGAATTATTAACTATTTCCGACTTTGTATTCTATAACAAAAATAAGAAAAACGTCGGGTACGACAA